AAAAAAAAAAAAAAGAATTTTGAGAAAACTGTATAACTCCATAGATGTATGATTGGTATGAAAATGTAAAAAGGGCAGGAGCGTTTTTAGGAATGCATAAAATACCAAAAGTGACTAAAAGAGGTTCAAAAAACTTAAATGGATCAGTAGCCCTAGAAAAAATGGAGAAAACTGTCCAGGCACTATACCTCCAAAGCAGCCAGGCTCACTAGGTTAGTAAGAGTGACTGACTAACTTCACCTTTATGAAAAGAGTGATTTCTAAACTGTTGCAAATTTTTTCCCAGTACAGAGGAAGGTGAAAATGGCATCCTGATTCATTTGTGAAGTGAAAATGTGACAAAGCTAGCCTAAAGAAAACTGTAGAGCAACTTGATTTATGAATACCAACATAAAAATTATAAGCAGAACGTTAACTCATCTCAGCTGCATTAGTACATTGAAAAAATTAAATGAATCCATGAGCTCAAATTAGTAATGCAGATGACTCAAGCCAGGAGACGTAGGAATAGAATTCACTGTTCTACTATTAGGTCAAAGGAAGTGGGGGTCAGGGGAAGTATGATCATCATCATACACACTAAACAAAAACAATTCATAAAATTCAACATCTTTTTATTTTTTTTTGAGATGGAGTCTCGCTGAGTCACCCAGGCTGGAGCGCAGTGGCACAATCTCGGCTCACTGCAACCTCTGCCTCCTGGGTTCAAGCGATTCACCTGCCTCAGCCTCCCAAGTAGCTGGGACTACAGGCACCCGCCACCATGCCCAGCTAATTTTTTTGTATTTTAGTAGAGACGGTGTTTTACCATGTTGGCCAGGCCTGGTCTTGAACTCCTGAGCTCAGGTGATCTGCCTGGCTCAGCCTCCCAAAGTGCTGGGATTACAGGTATGAGTCATTGTGCCTGTCTGGTAGAGGACTTTTGGCCCCGTTCCCCAGCCATGTGGAAAGGGCCTAATTCCCGAAAAGGAAGGCCTTTCCTCCCCCACAGGGAGGGTCCCTTATCTCACTCTATCCTGGCCCGGTCCAAGACCAGCAACCTTCCCGCCCAGCGGCCCACTGAACCAATCACCATCCGCCCCACCAGCTCTCCTGTAACCTCCCGTCCCACAAGCTCCCGCCCGGCAGGCTTCCTGCCCAGCAAT